CAACGCCGCTGCAGCCTGGGGAGGCAAATTTAGAGTTGAACCTAGGAACCTGGGCGTTGTAATGCGACGCAAACCAATCAACTGTGTGAGGGCCTATTTGGCATCAATCACTCGAAATACAGAAGGGTTGACAGGGTTGTCATCTTTGTCAACAAATATGCTGAGATATGCACTTTCATTAAGCTACCTTTCCTGGGGAAACTTGTTTATATTCTGGCTGACAGCCAACAACTCAACAATACGATTTGGTTGGATCTGTAGGGTGGTCTGCTGTCGCTGCAATGCTATTGCTTTTTCTTGAAAGTTGTCATCAGCATTGGAGTAATCTGAACAGTCGTTTGGTTGGCCATTGGGAATTTGCGTGGAACACTTACCTGCAGGGCGTTCGGAATACCTTAGTTCTCTTGCCACTAATAGATTGTCAACTTTACCACTCTCATGCTTCAGCTTCACCATAGGGGGATGCAAAGGCAGTTGAGTGGGTGGAATAACCATCGCAGCTAAAGCCTTCCCCTTGGCTGCACTTTTGGCAAGTTCAAACGAGCCTCTTGACTCAAGCAAAACTTCTTTTCCCCTTGAACCTGCTGTTTCCTAAGCACGACCTTCTTGGCATCCAATTCTGCAAACCTTACCGCCTCCTCCAGTCTCGCTGCCTTGACAGAATTTGTGCGGCTTTGACAAGAACTCACACGTCTAGAGCTTTTCGAGTGCTTCAAGGTACCTGAATGGGCGTGGGAGCTGATGGAGCTCGCAGAGTCTTCAGGTTTAATTTTGGAGTCTGCTTGAAGCCCAGCTGACAAAAGCCTTTGCTCAGCGACAACAATCCAGTCATCTACTTGGTGCCAAAAAGCACCAAAGTTATCTACATGCCTTGAAAGGTAATCACAGCACTCTGTGATACCACCAGCATCTTTTACTTTGGACCAGTAGTCAAAGTGAGCTTCCTTTAATTTGTCAAAGGCGGCAACCACATGAACATGTTTCTCCTTAACTGTCTGAAGATTCTGATTGTCATTGAGCAAACCAGTGATCTCTTTAATCCAAACGGTAACATTGGATGCCAAACCAGACCCTTTGTTCTTCTTTGCTGGAAGTCTCCCCAAGTAGACTCCTTCTAAATCCAGGATAACATTCGGTCTTCTCACGCGGGTTAACACTTGCCGAGAATCTGGCTTGGTGGCGTATCCGAATGAAGCATTCATGTCATGACAATGATATGTGACTGCAGCAATTGTAACTTCTCAACACCACAATTACTGATAAAATAGGCCATTTATTGATGGTGAACGATGTGGGTTGAAACTTAAAAATAATAGATAAATACAACATTACAACAATTGATCAAGTAAAGGTGATAAGAAAGAAATACACCACTTGAAACGACAATACTTACGTTGTTACGATTACTGCAAAACTACATTTGACGAAAAAACAGTCTGAAGACGAGATGAAGAATAAAGGAATTGCTTGAAAGCAAACTGTGACTAGCGCGACTACCGAAAAGAAAAGGCCCTGAACAGAGAAGACTAAATTTATATAAGCGTAAAAAAACTAAAAACTAATGCATGCAAAAATGACTAACTGAACCACTTTGGTTGGACTTTACACTGAACTCTCTTTTGCTTCAAAGGGAGGTGCTTATTAGTAATACCATTTAATTTATACCAGGTGTTAACTACATCGTTAGGATCCTCAAATAAAAAGGCACAGTCCCAGAGGGCTTCATGAAGGGATGAAACAAACTGCTCTTTGTCTAGACTCTTAACATCCCAAGAAGTTATTGTAGTGTGTTGGTCTCCATTGTGACAATAAGTTTTCGTGCACTTAACTGGACTTTGCAGGAATGTACAAAACGGGAGAAATTAACTCGGTAGAGACCACTCGGCTTACAAGAACGGAAACTTATCACGATTTCCTGGCATACAGAGATCTACTTCGAGCAAGCTTATGTGAACATCAAGGATGAGACAGCATTTTGGTTCCACAATAGACTTTATTCGTAGAGCACTCTAACACTAGTAATCCTAAAAGCTGTACAAGGTACTTGCTTAAGAGCAAACTGGTGTGAGGTGCTATTGTTACACAAATCTCGAAATTTGAATAAGGACACAAAGGAGCGGAAAAAAGTCTCTTCGAAGTTAAACAAAACTACATAAATATTCCATCTGTTTCTACGATGAAAAGAATCTCAAAATTTAAGGACGGATACAATAAACTCAAGGCCATTAAAAATAGGAAACTTAGGTGTGAATTTACAGCTCTGGTATAGAAAATATACCTATCTTAATGACAATAGAGCAGCTTAGGAAATAAAAGTGGAAAACCAATTAAAAGTTTCTGCTTATCTCTGCAAAGTTGGTGTGGAAACTATCGTATGAAAGGAAATTGAAATTACGAGTATGAACTTAGCGGCTAACTTCCATGAGAACCAATTTTTCCAGAAAGACCATTAACACTTATTTTTACCTAAAATTTTACTTGTAATGATGAACAAAAGTACCGACATGGAGGTGCATTTTCGTAAACTTTGCCCTGTTTATAAGGGATAGAATTCTAACGAGCTAGACTCAATCAAACTGTTTTATTCCACTCTCGTATTTGCTTATGTACAACGGGTGTGTAAAAAGCTACCGAGCCAAATTAGTAGGAAATCACTCTCTTATGCAATATTGTCTACATTGTGATGGTGGTTGCCAAGTACTGATTTAAAAGGTCATTCAAGGCTGCATTGACCATGTAAACCGATCATTGTCCCAAAATCACTACAGGTGGTGCTTCTAGCTCTTGACATAATGGTCACACTCATCATCTGACATGTGTCATGCATGAATCAAAGTCTCTGACACACTCCCCCATGCAGCATTGCATGCAAGGGTGCATTCCCTTAAGAGGCTTAACGAATTCAAACTAAATGAAAAAGTTCTTCATAAATCAAACATTTAAATCAAGTTCACAATTTTGAGGTTCAGCGAAAAAGGAATTGTAATTCATTGTTCATCCTCAGCAAGGTGCTGGATCTGGGCTCTGGCAACAACTGCAGCATCCCGTCTCAGCCTGAACACTAGTGCATTTGGGTTCAAATCGGCTGTGGGAGTGCCTGCTTGTGTTTCCCAAGCCTGATTAGAGTTTAGCTCAAGAGGGTACAGGTGCTGAACAGGCCTTTCTAGCATGCCGTTTGCTGTTTTGAGTTGAACTGCATGGATGATTCCGTCCCTCGCGAGATACGTTTTGTTCACTATTGCCGGTGGCCAACTCCTACAATTCTTGCTTTCGGTCTTTATAATTACAACATATGCAACATTTGGCTGAAGTTTGGCGGCCTTGTGTGTCAGGTTGTGCCACTCCTTTAAAGCTGTTAAATATTCTCTCTGCCACCGTCTCCAGAGACTGTTCTTGCAGTTCATGAGGTATTTAGTGCGTTTGTGTTGGTCCAGTTTCTCAATCCTCCATGTTTTCTCTTCTGGCAACTGACTGGTTCGCTGGAACAGGAATGTTGATGGTGTAAGTGTTGGTAGCTCAACATCATCTATTAGATAACTTAATGGGCGTCGATTGATTTGTGTTTCCACTTTGAACAGTACTTTGCTTAGCTCAGTCCAGGTGACTATACCTCCCCCAATAAATTTGTACATGGCAGACTTTATGACTCCAATCGACCGCTCGAATTGTCCTCCACACCATGGAGCCTTGCTTAAGTTAAATCTCCAGGTGATGTTGTAATCTTCAAGGAGACCTTGGAGGTGCTCATCTCCTTGCAATTGGCAAAGCCATTTCACAGCCTTGATAAAGGTGCCTCCATTGCCCGAGTAGATAACACGTGGTTTGCCACAGTGAGCGATTAGGCCCATAAGACAGGTAATGAAACTGCTTGTCTCTAGACTGGACAGCATTTCCAGGCGTATGGCTCTGGAGAGGCTACATGTGATATAGCCAAGTAAGCTTTCTCCTCGCTCTTCTTGCATTGTTTGTACTTGATAGGACCAGCAAAATCTGTGCCAATAACTTTAAAGGCTGTTCCCTCATTTGTACAGTCTGTAGGTAGTGGTCCAGGGGGTGGCACTGTTAAAGGTGAAGCTATGAAACGTTTACAGGCCCAACAGGCAGATCGCACAGACTTCACGAGCTGTCTCGGGGTCAGGATCCAGCACTGTTCACGAATCGCTGCCATGGAAAGGGACACACCCCCATGTAAGGTTTCAACATGAATCCTCTGCATGAGTTTTCTTGTAAACATGGCGTCTGCTGGTAGGCACATAGGGTATTTTCCTTAAATTCTTCCATGGCATTTGAAAATTCTATCTGCATTTGAAACGAGATTGATTTCCTGCCTAGTCTGTTCAAAGTGTGGTTTCTGCGAATCTTGAGACAGAAATCTTTTTATCCACCAGTTCTTGGTCTCTTGAATGTCTTCGCTAGTAAGAGGTCCCTTGTGCACCCTGTGAGTAGTGAAATGTTGCACCCAAGCTTGGATGTGAAGAGCTCGGCGTAAATCATGGCATTCAAGGAGTTCGTCAAACACGTTCCATTCTAGTTCAGGTTTCTCACTTGGTAGGCTTAGCAATTCTCTGATGACTTTTGCCTCTTCTTCTGAAGTTTTGGATTTCACAGGAACCAGCTTCTCTGGCCACATTTCAGGATTACACAGCCACACTGGGCCATTCCAGCAAAGCTCTGAGTTGGTTACCTGGCCTCCTTGACTCACCAGGTCTGC